AAAGACAAACTTTAGAACAATGAGAGTTCTGACTTTATCAGATTCAAAGCTGCTGAACTCCTCCTGCTGCAAAGCCCTGCAAAATCTGGTCTCCACTTTCACCTCCACTAGTCTCCCACATCATTCATCCCAACCTCAGGGCCTTTGCACGTGCTGTTCCCACTGCCTGGACGGACTCAACTTCCCCCAGGTAGCTTCAGAGGCTCATTCTCTCACCTGCATGAGTTTTAGCATATTAGATGGATTTATTTATGATTTTTATTTCAGAATAGTAAAGAAAGCTATAAAATATTTGTTATTAAAAAGAGGCGATGGTCTGACGGGGTTGAGGATCACCGGTTAATACGCCTGTATCTCACACTAACCTGGAAATTCTGAGATAAAGCAAACTTGCTGATATGAAATGAATGAATACATGAGCAGGCTGGTAATACCTGAAGCAAGGTGCAGGAGGTGGGCAGCTGCAGTATGAAAAGTAAGACACCTTGGCTTGTAAGAGGTGAGGCACACTTGCTGGTGAGTGTAGGGACCCAACGGGGAGTCAGTGAGGACAAGCTATCACGAGCCATGAAGTCAGGACTCCAGAGTGAGGCAGGTCTGGCTGATAGGTGGGCATAGGGGAAGCCTTGGGTCTGGGAAGTGGAGGGGGAGGAGGCCAGCACCAGCAACAGCCTCCCTCCTCTCTCCAGAGAAAGGCCCAGCTGCTCGTCAAGCCGGCTAATGATTCCTGGTCCCACAAAGACTACAAGGCCCGTCCCCGTTCTGTGTACCACGATGGCTCATGGCTCCAGGTGAAGGCAAGACTCCCTGAGGATTTGGAGTCCAAGTTTGGGTTAGAATCCAGGCCACTCAGACCTCTGAATCTGTAACCGAGGTCACTCACATACCATCCTGCCCCCAGTCCTGCCGTGAGAATCAAATAGCCCCCACACAGGAGAGTCTGGCCAACCATAAGTGTAACAGGGTGGTCCCCCAGGAAAGGGGGAGTTTCCAGGTTCCCTGCCCCACCCAAATGGAGGGTGGAGCTGAGCAGGGAGAGAAGAAACTGCAGAGGAGACTGAGGAAGGAAGGAAGTAGGATGGAGCCAGGAGACCCGGAGGAGGCACGTGGAGCAGAGAGACACGTGAAGAAAATTGCTTGCTTTTTGTCGTGGCCTGGGTGACACAGATGTGGGTGAGACCCGTGGGGAGGTGACAATGGTGGTTTTTGTCTTGATTTTGATTTTGCTCTTTGCCCTCCGGACTTGTCTGGTTGTTTCTGATGCTTTTCCGTGTGTCCCCACTGGAAGATGCTTTAGACTTGGGGCAGGCTTTGGGGCCTTGCTCTGGGCCAATCCTGCTTGGATGGACTTTTACCCATGAGGGGACGGGTAACTTTGGGTGCTTGATTTAGAAACTGAAAGGTTCAGCGCAGTAAAGAACAAGAGAGCCAGGCTAAATTTCTCAAAGGGAGGGAAAGTTTATTGCGCCCCGGGCGGACCTCACACACCCAAGGTGGGGGTCAGTGAAGTCGCGCACGTTGTTAGGGGGAAGCAGGGTTTTATAGGGTAAGGAGGGGTCAGGTGGGAAGTTGGGCTCCTATGGAGGGAAAAAGTTTGTTGGGCGGGGGGCGTTTCGTGGGGCAGGTAGAGGTTCTTTGTCTGAGAAGAGACTCGTAGCGGGAGTGGGGAGGCTTACTGCCTGAATCCTCCAGGCAGGTATCCACATTCCTGCCCCCCAGGTGGGCTTCCTGGTTGGCTTCTGCATTCCGGCCTCCTGCATGGACCTTTCAGAAACTATATTCTTTGCCTTTCCTGTATTGTTTCCTAATTGTATTAAAGTTCCTTCCCATTAAAGTCTCATGTTTTGTGTTAATGCGGCGGATGTCAGGACCCATTTAGAGTAGGCAGGTTTGTGGGGTCTGGGGTGCCCCTCTCCCTGCCCTGTAACATAAGGACTATACAAATGTTGGTCAGTATTACTGGGATTAACAACAGTTTAACTGCTGAGCATAATTCAATCTTTGGTGAGTCAGAAGATATTCAGATGCTTAAGCCCATCATTGCCAACCTCAAGTATCAGTGAATAGTATTTTGGATCAAATTCTGATTGTTGGAACTTTCTTGGTATTTAAATTCTAGCCAAGCAAGGCTTTTCTATATAACCTTTCAAAGCATGTGGTGACACGCCAGAGTCCACTCTAATCCTTTGCTGGTCCCCGCCCGCGCGCAGCCTCCTCAAGGGAGAACGGAGGGTTTGTCTACTTGGGCAGAATGTATTCATTTGAGCAGGAAACCCTGCTCGGTGAAAACCAGCTTTCAGACTCCACCCTCTCCTTTTGATCCTCCCCCTGAATGCAGAGCTGGCACGGCAGAGGCAAAGCCATTCAGATGTAATTATTTTAATTCAGCCAGATGCTGGGAATTAGTCTCTTTTCCTTGCAAGTATTCTAGAAAAGACAGAACTCAGCCAAAGATGCCCCAAAAGAAAAGAAGCTGACAATCTCAGGAGAAAGGAAGGGAAGGCCCGCACCCCCACCCTACTTGCAATGGAATCATTTAAAGCTAGGAAATTGCTGCCATCCCTGGATGATGGAGAGGAAGGGAGGAATGGGTAGCTGGAGGAAGAGGGAGGCGCCTAATAGGTGTTAAAAGCAGACTGTTTACCAATCTCGGAGAACTAGACCAATAACAGCGCCAGTATTGTCTAGAGCTTTAGAATTTCCAAGGCATTTTCACTTCCATTACCTTGCTTAATTATAAGCTAGGGAGGAAGTCACCAGTTGGCCTAGAAGTTTGGGGGGGAATGCAATTTAGGCTTCAGGGAATTCAGATTTAGTCTTTGGCAGGTATTCCTAGGAGCCAAGCGCCTCTTAGGCAAAGCCACCCCCATAATCTCCTTAAATCCTCAGTCAGCCCCAATATACAGGTGGAGAAACTGAGACATGGGGAGCTTAAAAAGCAGCTCAATTCTACATTTCAAGCGGTTTCTCTCCCTGGTCTGAACTCCAGGGGCATCCAGATCCTCAGCATGCACAAGCATAAGCGTTTTCATCATCACCTGCTACATGGATCTGCGCTTCCCACTCGCTCAGTCACATTTTTATGCCAGATACTCCCTGAGCATCTAAGGTGAGCCAAGCCCTCTGCCAGGTTTATATATTGTGGAGGTTTATTCCTGCTGTCGAGTTCCTCCAACCCAGCAAGGTAACAGAAGTAAAATCAGAACGAATGGCTCAGTTGGCTGGTCATTGCTATCCTGTCCTGTCCTGTTAATTCTGTTTTCATGTGTCTTATTCTGCAGCTGGAAGCCCCTGAAACAGTTTAGAACAACACAATCCAGTGGCTCAAGATCCTGGCTCTGGAATCAAACTCCCTGGATTAAAATCTCTCCTATTGATACTCAGCAGCTCTGTGACCTTGGGTAGGTCACTTACCTTCTGTAAAATGAAGACCATAAAGTCAGTTATAAGACACTGTAATACATATTACATTACATAGTATAATCTTGCAAATAAATAAGTTGATACATGTAAACTACTTAGTACAGTGTGGCTCAGAATAACAGCTAAATCTTGGCTAATTCTACTATACTTCCCTGTGAGCAGGTCTCAAAGTATAGACCAGGAACCACCAAGGGGAGTGGGTGTGTGTGCAGGAGGCCAGGAGGCCACAGCTATTTTCATAATAATGCTAACAGAACATGGAATTTTTTAGAGGTTACCAACAGTGATAGCACAACAGATTGACTGCAGAAGCAGATATGAAACTCCAGTTCTCTTCTATTAAACCAAACAAAAATATAAAATAAGGCCACTCTTCACTACATGATTTTTGGTTTGGGAACTAGAACTATTTTTCAAAAAACGATGTTATTTATGTTAGCCTGTAATGGGTTAAATTACTGTTATTTTTACATTAATTCATACATAATTTTAACTCCCCAGAAAGGTCAGAAAATCTTGTTTCTCCTAGTTTCTCCCTCTATCCTGAGTTGAACTCTGCCCCATGGAAGTTGGGGTTCTGGGTTACCTTGGGCTTGATCTTATGCTCACTTTGCTACTGCCTTTACCTCTTCAGCCCAGGACCCAGCCCATTCCTACCAGTGACTCTTGATTAATCTAAGAGGCATCTGAGTCGTTTGGGGGCATGAACCCTGGTTTCAGGGTCAGGCTGACCTGGCTTAGAACCCCGACTCTACTACCACTTATTGCCCTTGAACAGGTGACTTGGCCTCTCTGAGCTTCAGTTTACTCATCCATAAAATGAGAATAACAATGGTACTGACCTTTAAGGATTGTTGTCAGCAGTGATAATTTATGTAAAATGCTCTTCACTTGATGATAATCACTATCATCATTATTACTAGCCACTGTATCCCCTCAGCTCGTGGGGTGCTCAGTTACCCCTTCAGTTTTCTCCCTCACCTGCTTTCCCACAATTCCAAGGAAGAATCAAAACCAAGGGCAGCCTGGGATTGCAGACTCTAGCGTGTACACACACACACACACACACACACACATGCCAACCCCACAGGCATTTTTCACTCAACCCCATTCAGGCTGTCACCTGACTCCAGAGCGGGAAGTGGAAGCATGACAACTAAATGCCAAGCGTTCAGGCTCCAAGACTGAAAAGACTTCTCTGCGGCCAGAGTGGGGCCAAGGCTGTCTTGGCTCAAAGACATGTGCGCTGTAGCCATCGAGGGAAGTGCAGGGAGCCCCAGGTGGGCGTAGGGGAAGGTGAGGGCTTCCAGTCAGATCTGCTGGTGACTAGGGGTGAGTTCCTGGCCCATCTGGCCTCAGTCTGCTCAGCTGTAAAAAGGGGCCTCCTCGCTCTAATGCCCTGGAATTCTATGACGGTGAGGTCAGACCCAGGAGCTCTGTCTCCCCCCCACCACACACACCCTCTACTCCCAAACCCCTCCAGAGACTTAGCTCTGGGGTGACAGGGAGGCCAGGCTGGCTTCCACCCCCTTCACCCCACAGGTCAGGACCCATCTCAGAGTCCGTCTGCCACTCACCCTACAGTTGCTGAGCTCCTCAGCGGACAGGATGATGGTGCCACATTTCTTCCCTGGGACACCACTGGGAGAGAAGATCAAAGCATGGAGCGCAGACAAAGACAGAGACACTCCCTGCATCAGCCCGCTGCACCCTGCACCCTCCCCACGCGCACCCCTCACCAACCAGCAGATCTGCCCCAAAGCCCCTGAGGGTCGTGTCTCCTGAAATACTGTGGCAGTGTGGCCTAGTGCACTGCTTCCTGGACCAGGCCCCCAAGCCTTGAGCTGCCCCGCCCCTGCTCCCCGAGAGCCCATGGGAAGGGTATTATCTGTAGTGAAAGTCCTAGAATCGGAAAAGCATCCAGACTCACCCGGAGGCTTCCAGACCAGTGGTTCTCAAACTTTCCATCCAAAGACCACTTCTGTGGGCAAAAGACCTCATGGGCTAGCCACCCCACCCTGTACCCAGCTGACCCCCAAAGTCCCAGAACTTTGCAGGTGGAGCTGCTCTGATTCACCATGGGAGAGAGAGCAGCAGGAGAGAGTAGGCAGAAGGGCAGCACGCTCTCAGCTCTCAGGCAGTTCTCTCCCGTGGCTACCTCCCCTTGAACTCCCTGGCTGGGGTCTCTCTGAAGGAGAGCGCCTGGCCAACCACACAGCTCCTCAGTGAGGTGGGCCACGGGACAGTTCACTACGGAGTCCCCCCTAGGAGTGGCTCCATCCAGGGGACCTGTATAGCCTCTTCCCCTGGTCAGGTGGGACCCCTCCCCCAGGCACCAGCCCATCCCACTCCATGTTTGGGACTAACTCAGGGAGTCCCCAGTGCAGCCAAGGGCCTCTGGGAGGAAGAGGGGAATGTCAAGTGTCCAGCAGCTGTGTGACTTTGTCTTCATTGCCGCACCTCTCTGAGCTTCAGCCTCCTTGCCCATAAAATGGAGGTGACAGTCACATGCATTTTTCTAATGAAAATGCGCCACAGTGCCCGGCACACAGAAAGCCCTCAAAGAGCATCATTTCCCTCCCTGCCCCCTTTCCAATTGTGCAAAGGTGATCAAATCTAGCCCCACAGCTCAGGCCAGCCGGGGAGCCACCAGCATGCTGTCTGTGGAACACACTTTGAGAACCACTGATGGAGCTCTTCCCAGCACAGCTCTTGGAGGGAGAGGCTCTCAAACAGAGGAGGCAGGACAGGCCTGGGAACCAGTGCCCTGGGCTGACAGCCCAGATGGCTCCAGATCAGGTGAGCAGAGCAAGGGGTACGACTGCAGCTTCCTCTGCCAGGGGCAGTTGGAGGTGCTTGTCGGCTTGTCCCCCACCCAGGACATGGGCAGCCCCAAGTCCCCTCCCCACCCCCAGCCTGGCCCTCCTTGGTAGTAGAGCTGTGATTTGCTTGACCAGGGAGACAGAATCCTCACACCAGCCTTCTCCATCCAACGTTTCTCCATCTGTTCCTCCCATTGCCCCAGAGCCCTTGTCTATTTCCAGCTCTCTTTCCCTCCTCTCCAGCCCCAACCTGCTCCCACCTGCTCTGCTTGCCTTCCCTACTCTCCCTCCCTCTGTTTTTCTCTCTGTCTCCTGCTCCTTCTCCTTTCTGATTCCTGCTCCCCCTCTGGCTGCTTATCTACCCTCCAAAGTAAATTGGTGTCCACACCCTTCCTGTGCTGTGAGCCTTCCTGGGTCTCCCGGAGACCCCTGTCCCACAGCCAGCTGCTGGGACCCCAACTCCTGGGAGCCTGCAGCAAAGCCCTGTGGAGCGCTGGTTACCCAGCCACACTGCGCATCCACCACAGGCTCCTCCAAATCAGGCCCCCAAGCAGATGCTTCTACCCTCCCCGCCTCCGCCTCTGGGGTGAAGACCTCCCTCCAAGAGAAAAAGAAAGGGAAGCAGTGAGGGGGGTCTAAGTTGCCCACACTTGCCAAACACAGATGGTCAGAGTGAGGGCTGGGGAACAGGCTGGCCCACCACAGCTGGTGAACAAATGCAAAAAGTGAGGCTTTAGCTGTGTCTGCTCTGTAAGGAGGAGACTGAACGCCAAGCGGAGGAAGAAGCTGGAGGGGCGAAGGGTGAGGAGACAAAGAGCAGGGGGAGAAGAGGAAGAGAGTACAGAGAGAGGGTGGAGGTAGAAGAACCAGGCTGAGGGAAGGGAAGAGAAGTGGCTAGCCCCTGCCTGTTCCTCTGGGCCCCGCCCTTTTCCCCAATTCCCGTGAGCCCTTGGGACTGGGAATGCTTCAGCCTGGACTGGGGAGGGCCAGCTGCAGAGCAAGGTGGGGGAAGGGGCTCTGCCCAGGGCCCAAAGGTGTCTGGGTCCTTGAGGAGGGACCCAGGGCCTTCTCTGTTCCCCTGAATTCACAGTGGCAGGAGCAGACCTGGCTGGATGTTTGAAGACTCCAGGGCCAGAGATGCTCAGTGACCTACCCGTTGGACACAGCTGGCATGGGTTTGCCCGTTCTGGAATTCAGGCTGAATGCTCCTATCCTATGAAGAGAGGAAGAGAGAACATGCCATGATCAAGTGTCCCTGTCTTGAGTGACCAGAGCACTTAGCATCGATACTTAGAGTGTCTGTTCTGGATCAAACATCAAAATAGCACTGAAAGCCACAGGCCAGGGGAGAGGTCTTTTTCCCAAACCTTACTGTGAAGGCCTGAGCAATGCTACCTCAATGTTTCCCAAAGGGTGTTTCCTGGGGTGAACATCCCCTGGGAACCTGTCAGAAATGTAAATTCTTAGGTCCCATTTCCACCAGCTCGATCAGAAACTGGAGGCAGAGCCTCCAGGATATACTAATGTCTGCTACAGTTTATGAACCACCTACCTCTTTGAGCCTCAGTGTGTGGGGGGCTGTGAAAAGGGGAGACGGCTGAGAACCACTAGCTCATGGAAGAAAGCACTGTGTGGCCCAGAATAGACACCAGGGAAAAAAGCAGCTGTTCACAGCAGGAAGTCAACTGGATTCAGGCCCAAGAACCCTCCAGCAGTGTCCCTGCTTCACCAGTGCCCAATATCAGCCCCCACTGGGACATAGATCCTGCTTGCTCTTGAAGGCTCAGCTCAGTCGCCATCTCCTCCCCAGAGCCTTCCTCCAACCCCCCAGGTCTGCCCCTCCAAAGCTGGACAGGCCACAGTGGGCAGGAGACAGACCCAACTGGCTCATGGATGTTTAACCTTGGAGGTTAGGAGCTGAGAGAGGCAGATACACTCATTCCTGAGGCACATCCAACATCAATCCAGGTAAAGCCATGGGGTGCAGAGGGAGGGGGAGATATACGTTAAGGGGTACACAGGATTTAGCAGGCAGTGAACCCTTCAACAGGCAAAGGGAGCCAATGCTCCCAACCCCCAGGAATAAAATTATAAATAGAAATTGTTTGAGATATGTCCAAGGAGGGGGCCTAGCTAATTTGAATGTGAAATTTTCATTCTCCTTTTTTAAGAGGCCCTAAATTGGGCCTCCCTGGTGGCACAAGGGGTTAAGCACCACACTATGAAGCTGTCCACAGCCTCTGCAGCACGAGTTGGAGCCCCGGCCAACCAGGGAGCAACCCACACGGCATAGCAGACCTCTCCTGCCTCGCCCGCTGCTCCCCTCAGCAGTGTACTTCGGTCAATCTGCCTGTTCTGTTCCCCACTCTGTCTCTGATGAATCTTCTCACCCCCCGCATCTCTGGCCTGTACCCCAGCTCTTGTACGAATAAATAAAAAAAATCTTTTTTAAAAAAAAGAGGCCCTAAATTTTCTATGCTTCAGACCTCCTCCCCCAAACCTGGGTTTGTTCCCTATTCTCAATCAATGACAGCTATTGTTTTTAGTGAACTCCAAGGAGGAGACCACCTTCAGAAACAGGGAGGCCTTTTTCTGTCTCCTGAAATTACCAGTTACTGGGGACAAGAGTCAGAGAGAGAGATTCACCACCCCCACTCCCACCATCACACACACTAACACATTCTGTTCTTATTGATGATATGTGGTTTATTGATTCTGTAGTTATGGATGACAGTGAGGGGAAAGCATCCAAGGTGAACAGATATGAGCAGGGGGTTGAGATATAGGGATGAGAAGTCACCCCACACCAGGCCAGCTCTGGCTCTCAAGCTGAAGCCGCTCTCAGCCTCCACCGTGAGAAGGCTCAGGAATCTTCCTCCACAAGTTGCTCAGAGTAACAGCTGTCCACCAAAAGCACTTAATAAGGCTGGCAGTGCAGACTGTCAGGGACAGGATGAGGTTAGGAAGGTCTCATCATTATCACAATGTGTGGACCCAAGGAATGTGCCACGTGAGCAGAATCCTGTATTAAAGCTTAGTTCTCACACGATCTAGCTGTGTGACCTTGGGCAAGTCATTTACCCTCTCTAGCCTTCAGATTTCTTCCCCTATGCAAGGCAAGAGGTGCAGGGTGGGAAGGGACTAAACAGTATTTCAGGATCATCCTAGGGCTCTAATAACCAAGTGTGGATTCCTTCAAGATAACTGGGTTTGCAATAATACACTCTAAAAATGTCTCACTGCAAATCTGAGACAGCTGGGGGGTGAGGTGAGGTGCAGAGGGAGGGGCCCAGTGGAGCGTGGTGGAGGACCACTGGGATAAGGTGGTGGGCAGGGTATGATGTACACATTTGTAGAGGTTTGAACCTATAGCCTCCAGAGTAGGTACAAAGATGTAAGCCTGTTATTTTACCTCAATAAACAAAATTTGGGGAAAAAAGATAACTAGTTTTAAAGCTACAGGACATGGTCTTTGGATCTCTGGATCCTCATCATACCTCCTGCTTAACTGCCTGCTTTGCCCCTACCCAGAAACCAACCCTCAGCAGGGGTGGGTGGGAAGGTAGCCCATCACTGAGGAAGTCCCCCAGATAGGGCCACTCCCCTCTACACTTACGTGAGGGGCTTCTCCAGCCGGCTTCCGGGGGACCCCACAATCTCTCCAAGGGTGCAGAAGGCCTGGCCCAGGAAATCCTGTATACACAAAATGCCAGGTTCACCCCCCCTGCTCATAGTCTCCCCTACCACCCACCCCTGCCAGTGCACAAGCTCTGGACACCGCACCCAGCCTCAGACACACTGTCACAGTGAAGCTCTGGGCCGGCCCCGAGTGGCATTTAAAAGACCTTCAGAATCGCAGCGCAGTCACTGGCAGAACTCACGTGTTTCGATAAATCAGGGCTCTTTGAGTCAACATCGTACCTGCAGGGAACAGAGAGACAGTGAAGGCAGGCGGGGCATCCTGCCCAACCCTGCTTGGCTCCCCCTAAAACAGGCTCCAACACATTGGATCTTTCTGGGAATAATGACTGAGAGGCATGAAAGGGAGCCATGTGGGTGCTGGACTTGTCCCGCCTTTTGATCTAGATGGTGGTTACATGGATGTAAACAGACATAAAATGCATCCACGGGGTGAACTCTTAAGATCTGTGGACATCATTCATTAAAAATTGAAAAAAATAAAATTAATTTGGTCTGCCACCCTCACTGGTCCACAGGTGGCTGAGCCATTTTGCCCCTCACTCCCTGTTAGCCCATCTTCCCGGTTAAGGCTCAGAGGCTCTTGGAGCTCCGCATTCCTTGGTGTGTCACCTTGCCCAGTCCTGCCCAGACTGTCTTTGGGGCTGGTCACCCAAAAAGGAGGGAGGCATTAACATCTTCACCTCAGCCAGCCACACTCGACACCCCTGTTGCCTGGAGCCCTTCCCTGGCATCCCCCATCCCCACCATCCTGGTCAGCTCTGCAGCAGAACAGCCCCTGTAGGCCCAGGCAGCCCCTGCTGAGAGGCTGTCATTTTTCCAACTGCTGCCACCCTGAGCACTTCTCTCTCTTAAATGTCACCACAATGGACTGCATTGCGTATTCCCGGCTCAGGTCAGACATCACTCCCTCCACAGTCATTTCCTTCCACTGTGTTTTTTCCTTTGTTCCCACAGGCCCCAACCCACCCCCCTCCCCCATCTTTCCCACTCCGTCTACAAATCTCTGGGAAATAGTCCTTTCTAACCACCTCACAGCCTGTAAAAAAGGACAAACTCCCCCATCTATTCACCGGGCTGAATTCTGCCCCCACCTTTAGCCTTCGGAGAGGGGCACTCTGTATCTTTGTGATGAACAGGCAGTCACCTTAGGCCCCATTAGCCTGGTTACCACTGGGAGGAAGGCTGGACAGGGTGCTCCCCCCATTCAAGCTTTAACAGAGGGAGAGGTCACTGAGACCTCTGGGAGAAAGGGTTTGGTGGGGGCAGGGGGTAGTGGTAGTGTTGCCTCCAAGATCTTTCCGCAGTCTTACCCCTACTCCCAAGCATCTTGCTCAATGCCCTCTCAATTTAAAGGAAGCATATTATGGGGTTGCTTTTTTCTACCTCCCACCTCCTTACCAACTCCCGATAAAAGTGGGGCTGGATTTCAGTCAATTGTCACCGTTATCCCAGACCAACCCTGGACACCCTCTAATATCACGCCCCCTTCCATGGTGCTGTCAACCTGCCGGCAGCAGTTTCTCCCCCAGGTCCATCCTCAGCGGCCCCTTCCACTTACAGGTCAAATCGGAGGTTCTGCTTCTCCTCAAAGAAATAATCCACGATGAACTTGCGCACGAAGTCTGGGTTGAGCGTGTTGTCGATGACTTCGGTGCGTCCAAACTGCAAGAGGAGACGGTGTGGACCTCAGGGCCAACCAGGGGTGGGGAGAGCACTGGGCTCGGAACCCCTCAGCTCTGCCCCTGGTGGTCATGGAGGCCATGTCGCTCCTGGGTCAAGGTGAGGGCACCTCCACCTAACAAGGGGAACTGTCTGGGATATGGCTGCCATCTTCAGCGTGAGCTCTGTTCTCCCAGTCTCTATGTTGGATGGTTTTGACACCTGGACATATGAGTAGACCCTTCATTTCTTCACCTCACCACCTTTGCTTGTGCTATGTCCTCCACTTGGCCAACCCTTCTCAGCCAGTGGATGTTCTCCATTCCTTAGAGGACCTTTATTAATGCCACCTCCTCCAGGAAGCCTTCCTGACTCCTCCAACCAGTTTTACTTCTGTCTAAACAGCCATTGAACTTGTCCCCACCCTAATGACTGATACATAATTAGGTGTCTACTTATTTAATATTCCAATTAAACACAAAGGCAGAGATGGGGTATGGGACCTTTAAAGATCCCATCTCCTGGTGCATGTCTGGGTGTAGTCCCCTCCCCTTGAATGTGTGCTAGACCTAGTGACTCCTTTTTAATGGATAGAATAGAGCACGAGTCACTTCCAAGATTATGTTATAAATGACTATGACTTCATCTTGGGCACCCCCTCTTGCTTTCTCTCACTTGCTCACTTTGATGAAGCATCTGCCACATAGTAATTGGCCTTAGGGAGAGATCTGTGTGGCAAGGAGGGAAGGCAGTCCTGGGCAAGAGCCAGCCAGGAACCAGTGAGTGAACTGAGACATAATCCTGCCCGGTTTACCCCTGAGATTGAGGTTCTGCCAACACTCGGATTACAGACTTGTGAGGGCCCCACAGGTAGAAGACCCCACAAAGCTGCACCCAGATTCATAAACTTGTTGTTTAAGCGGCTACATTCTAGGCTAATTTGTTACCCAACTACTAGATAACTAAAACTGGGATTAACTTTCTTGGTATCCCCCATATTTTGCACACATTAGACACTCAATTCCATTAAACTCCCCAAATGATTTAAGTCACTCCCTGTTTCTAGGCAGCAACATCACTTGAAGCTTTTGTTTAAACACAGACTATAGGCCTCCCTCCCAGAGAGTCCGATTCAGTAGGCTGAGGGCGAGGCCTGGGGATCTGCATTTCCAAAATTTCAGGTGATGCTGACTCTGCCGGTATGGAGGCCTCCTTTTGAGAGCCACTGGGCTGGTGCCCAGGGCTCTAAGCTCCTCAGGGTCTTCCTGTGCCATGGAGGAGGGCAGGTGGGCATGAATCCAGACTATCAGTTCCCCCAAAGCAGCGCTTTTACATCTATTCAATATACTGGACATTTCTGGTGAGAATTTGTTTCAAAAAAGACCATGGGACTAAAAGATAAAGCCTAAAAGCTCTGGACCGCTTTCTCCATGGAGGCAGGGCACAGCAGTCCCTAAAGTAAATAAGACAGGGGCCTCCCTGGTGGCTCAAGGGGTTAAGCACAGCACTGTGAAGCTATCTGTAGCGGCCAGCCAGGGAGCTACCCACATGGCGCAGCAGACCTCTCCAGTCTTACCCGCTGCTCCCCTCAGCAGTGTATTTCAGTCAGTCTGCCTGTTCTGCTCCCGACTCTGTCTCTGGTGAATCTTCTCACCCCCACTCCTCTGGCCTGTACCCCAGGTCTTGTATGCATAAATAAATAAATCTTTAAAAGACAGGCAGGTTTACAATCAATATTTTAAACAGGTATTTCACCTACCTTAACATATACACATGCTTTTTTCAACTTTGGCAGTAGTCACCAAAACAGAAAAATTCTGGGAGCTGGTCCTCCTTGATGAGTGCCTGTAGCCCAAAAGATTCCAGCACATGGGCCCTTCTCACCAGGGGTGGGCAAGATCTGGGTTATCAGGATTTAATCCTGAGTGTCCCCTTATTGGAGGATCACTAAATTTGGCACCTTCTTGCCACCACCTCCTCATCACATCAACTGTCATTCCTGTCAATTCCATCAGCAAAATCTCTCCCCTCTGCTAGGCCAGGCCTCATTGTGTTGTCACCTCAATCACTGCAGCAGCCTCTTAGTGGGTCCCCCATGTGGGCCCACTCCTTAAAGATGTGGCTCTAACTGCCCACCCCTCCCCTGTGCTCTGTCACATCCCTGATAGAGGTCCCCATCAGCCTGAGCTTCTCAGCAGCAGGAGGAGCCAAATTCTCCTCATCTTCAAAGCCCAAGAGTCAACAAAGGGTTTAACAGAGTCACAGGCTCACATCCGTGAGGATGATGATAGCACTGAGAAATGTGTTAAAAATTTTGCATTGGGACCTCCCTGGTGGCACAAGGGGTTAGGCCTCAGCACTATGAAGCTATCAACAGCCACTACAACATGAGTTCGATCCCCGGCCAGGGAGCTGACCCACATGGCACAGCAGACCTCTCCTGTCTCACCCGCTGCTCCCCTTAGCAGTGTATTTCAGTCAGTCTGCCTATTCTGTTCCACACTCTGTCTCTGGTGAGTCCTCTCATCCCCTGTACCTCTGGCCTACATCCCAGTTCTTGTATGCATAAATAAATAAAATAAATCTTTAAAAAAAATGTTTGCACTGTATTTCCTCACTTACTCTTTTCATGGTAGGCTGCCCCATCTTTTAGATATGCACAGACCAGCTAAGTGATTTGTCCCGGGTCACACAGCTAATAATCACTGACTTCAAAGTACAAGCCATGTCTTCTGCCTCGTGCTGTCTGAGTCAGGCCACATGCCATGTAAGTCCTGACAGCCAGAATGGTAGAAGCTTACTGCTCCCAGTGATAAGAGCACAGTAGGTCCTCAGGAGTTGTTGAATGAAGCAAGACTGAATGAGGAAATTAATGAGTGGGTCTGAGCCCCAATTTCATCACAAGTTAATTGTATGTCTCGATCAGAGTCTTTCAAAGCCTCACTTTCTTCATCAGAAGAGGGAGAATAATACTACTTATCCCATTTATTTCTTAGAATTTCTACCCGATTAAATTCCTTGACAAATTCAACAGATGGTTTTTAAGCACTTAATGAAGGTCTGGCTGTGTGCTGTGTGCTGAGCTACAAACATAAACAAAACATGAACTCTGTACCAAAGGACTTCCTGATCATAGGTGGGAAACAGCAACGCAGCCTGACACCAGCGCTAACAGAGCTGCCTGCAAGGTCTGCGGTGGGCTCCTCAGCCTGGCTCCACGCTAGAATCACTATGGCAGCAGGAACGATATTAATGTGTATAAAAACAAGGACTACTGAGTGTCCTGTTTATCATACTAATCCACAGAACAGACTTCATAGAGGCTTGCACCTTCCATTTTATCTTTGAGTTACTTTACTGCTATGTAAATTGCAAAAAGCACAGAGTAATACAAATGATCCTTATCCACAGAAATGAAGATAATTTTGCTCAGTGAAATGCAATTGATTATTTCGTTGTAATTCTGGGATACTGACCAATCTTATATCTATTTGTAAATTCAGTTCAGCATTCTTGATTGCCTCTTTGTATGTGTTGTTTGAATCCCTGGTCTCCTCACTTAAATAGTTAAATATGTCTTAGCCAGGTTTTCATTTTATATTTCTATTTCTATTTTATATTTCATTCTGGAAATATATTTATATTTCATTTTATATTTGAGTCAAGGTTTTACCTTTTAAAAATGTGTTTTTCAACAAGAACTTTTGAAAAATACCCATGCTCTACCCCACAGCAGGTCAATTAAATCTGAATCTCAATGGGCAGGCCTGAACAAGTGTGTGTTTTTTTAAAGTTCGCTAGGTGACTCTGTGGTATAGCTGGAGTTAAGATAAATGAGCAGGAAGGACACAGGAAGAAAACCAGTATTTACTTAGCTCCTACTGAATGCTCAATAGGTCAAGTGTATCATTAAGTTATCTCATTTGATTCTCACAAAAACCCTGTGAATTATTAATTATTACCCATTTTACAATCAGAGAGGTTGAGCAATTTGCCCAAAGTCACACAGGTAGGCAGAGCTGAGATCTAAACTCAGGTAAGCCTAACTCCAAACCCGATTAAAGAGAGCACACTGGCCCTTCATAAAACTAGGCACCAGGGAACATGAGATAAGCAGAATCAGAGATAAAGCTGACAACAGTAAACAACTTCAGCAGAATTGATGCAGAGCCCCTCTGACAGAAGAGAACCCCTCATGTACACCAAAAATTCCGGCAGTAGCTTAACCCTATAAAGACCCATGCTCCCATTTTGGGGTGCGACTCTTGGCCTGCAGAGAGTCATCACTTCAAGAACTTTCCATAAAACCTGCTTCAGTCTGATACTCTTGGCGCCTCTCTTTTCTAACATCTATTACATTTGTATTTCAAATATCTGCAAAGAATCCTCAAGCATCATGAAAATCAAAGAAAGATGAGGTTTACTTCATAAACATTTATAGAAGCCCGCTGTGTGCAAGGCAGTGGGGCAGACATCAAGTTGAACAAGACTGGAGAGCCTAAAAATCTTATAATGTAAAAATCTTATAATGTATAACACTTGTTCCAAAAAATTTCCTGCATTTTCCTTTCCTATCCTCTCTAATTCTTTTTTTTAAAACATTTATTTGTTTATGCATACAAGAACTGGGGTACAGGCCAGAGGTGTGGGGATTAAGAGGATTCACCAGAGACAGAGTGGGGAACAGAACAGGCGGATTGACTGAAATACACTGCTGAGGAGAGCAGCGGGCGAGACAGGAGAGGTCTGCTGCGCCATGTGGGTCACTGCCCTGGCTGGGGATCGAACTCCTGCTGCAGTGGCTGTGGATCCCTTCATAGGTTGCATTCCAACCCCTTGTGCCACCAGGGAGGCCCATCCTGCTCTAATTCTTTTTTTTTTTTTTTTTTAAGATTTTTTTTTTTTTTAATAGAGGCATGTTTTTTTTTATTTATTTATTTGTTTGTTTGTTTGTTTTGTTTATACATGCACTGGGTACAGTCAGAAGCGCAGGAGGGTGAAAG